TTATTGTACTTCATACAAGAACTGCAAAACAGCCCTGCAAGGCCAACTATATACATACCCACCCAGCACACCCACAATCCCACTGGAGGGTTTGAATTTCCCGCCAAAGTTGCTATTTGTGAATGCTGGGGGAACTAGGATCCTAGGCTTCTATTGTTTAGAGGAGCTAAGCTCCACACTGTAGCCGTGGACCCCTGGTGGCGTCCATGTACATAACACCCCTCCCCCCATAGTTCTGAACCAACCTATGTGATATAGTCCTGTAAATAGGTGGGGGGGTTGGCGCTCTCTGAGGGAACGCTGGGGGGCTGGCACTGGGTCACTGGCAATGGTCTCTGGTTGATGGGCTGTGACCTGGGGCTGGGGCATCTGTTGTGGCAGCTGAAGTGCCTCTGGCTCTGTTGGTTCTGGTGGTGGTTCACTCGGAGGGGCCTCCTTGATGCTCGGGGAGTCAAGCTGGACACTAGTCTCTGGTGTGTATGGCCCGGGTCCCGCAGCCGACGGGGGTGGCTCTCCTGCCTCCGGAAGTTGTCGCCACCTCAGTTGGTCAAGGTATTTCTTTAAGAGCATGCCGAGTTCTGTCGAGACCTCATAGGATACCGGGCCCATGACTTTGATACTTCTGCCTGCGATCCAGGGGTTTCCGGTTCCATAGTTCCGGATGAACACTGGGTCCCCTGGGAAGAACCCTCTCAGAGCATCGTGCTGTTCTACCATCCTTTTTGAGTCCGGTGCTCGGTCTGGGTGTAGCGGATCCAACAAGGTCGTGGGGCGCCGGCCCATTAACAATTCTGCGGGGCTGTGGCCGGTGACGGGGTTCGGTGTCGTCCTCTGGGTCAGGAGGAAGCGGGCTAGCCGGAACTCCCAGTCCCCGTCCATTATCCTGCTGAGGGCTTCCTTCGCAGTGCGCACCATCCTCTCTGCCTGGCCGTTGGTTGCGGGGTGGAAAGGTGCGGATCGGATGTGCCATATCAGGTTCCTCTGGAGAAAGTCCTGGAACTCCGCCAATGTGAAAGCTGTCCCGTTGTTGGAGACTATCGTGTCCGGCAACCGTGAGTCAGCATGTCCCATCGCCTTGCCCGGGTGGTGTTCCAAGTGGTACTGGTAGCCAGGAAGAGGGACCATCAGAGGACACGGGGTGACAGGACTTGGGGCGTCTGCTTGTCCGCAGCGAAAAGGCCAAGGAGGGGCTTGTGGTCTGTTACGATCATGAAGGGGCACCCGTAAATGAAATTATGAAACCTCTTGACCCTGGCCATGATCGCCAAGCCCTCCCTGTCAATTTGCATGTAATTGGGCTTGGTGGCCATTAAGGTCCTGGAGTAATAGGCCACAGAAACCTTGTGGCCGTCAGGGAGGATGTGGCCCAGGACTATGCCAATGCCATAGGGGGAGGTGTCACACACGAGGACCACCGGCAGGGATTCATTGAAATGTGCCAGCACGTCGTTAGAAATTAAGAGCGCCTTGACCCCCATGAATGCCACTGCTTCTTTTGGGCCCCAGGACCAAGGAGCCGACTTGTCCAGAAGGCGGTGGAGGGGCTCTCCTACTGAGGCCTTGTGCGGCAGAAAAGCGTGATAGAAGTTTATTACTCCCAAAAATGCCTGAGCTCCGCTTTGCAAGTGGGTGCCGGGGCCTCCACGATGGCCTTTACCTTGTCCTTAGCTTGATGGAGGCCAGCCGCATTGACGCGGAACCCTAAAAAGTCCACTTCCGGAACCCCGAGAAGACATTTCTCCCGTTTCACTTTGAGGCCAGCCGAGTCGAAACGTTGTAGGACGGCGCAGAGGCGGGAGGCAAAGTCATCTGGGGTTGCTGCGGTGATGAGGACGTTGTCAAAGAACGGCATCGCTCCAGATGTGGACGTCACTATTGGGCTTAATGGGGGTTATAATTGGCGTTTCCCAGATGGCGTGTGATACTGGCTCTAGGACCCCTTGCACCACCAAATGGTCCAGTTCCGCATCAATTTTGGGCCTGAGAGCGAGCGGAGCAGTGTGGAACTGCAAGCGAATGGGGGCCACGATGGGGTCTAGTTGCAAGGAAACCAAGGGGCCCTTATAACACCCTAAAGCCCCATCAAAAACGGTGGGGAACTCGCCGCAAACCTCCACAAAGTCCCGCATTCCACATTTATTCCCCCCCCCAATCGTGATACCCAACGGCGCAAACCTGGCCCACCCCAAGAGACTTACAAGGTTCCCCTCTACCACAATCAAGTCCAGAAATCCCTCGAAACCCTGGTACTGCACCCGGAAGGTCCCCACACCCTGGATTGGGACTGGGTTCCTCTGAAAGTCCACCAAACATAAAGGCAAGGGGTGTAAGTGGGGTCCCCCATTGGAGCAAAGTCTGTGCAGCATGTCCACCAAGATGATGGGAGCTGCCGACCCCGAGTCTACTTCCATAGGGCAGGGGACTCCTCAATCTGGACCGTGACTTGGGTCTTCATGGCAGCAGACAGGTTGGGGAGGCATAGTATCTGGAGGGATGGCCGATCAGTGAGGAGGTAGAGGTCGGAGGTTTCCACAGCGGTCTCGTAGGTAGCAGTGGCCTGGCGTCATGGCTGGGCTGGAGGCTGCTGGTGCCGGTTTCCCCTGGACCGGCAGAGTTAGGCGAGGTGACCCTGTTTTCCGCACGTGTGGCACGTGGCATTGCAGAACCAGCATGATTTGCGCTCATGTACCTCTTCGCAGCTGGCACACGTGGAACGGCCAGCGGTCTTCCCGGAGTATCCTGATGCTGTGGTTCCCAGTGGCTTCCGGTGAGTGGGTTGGCAGACGAGATGGACATCCTCCTCGTCGGAGTTCTTGGGCACTGAGTCGGGAAGCACAAGATGAGAAGCTGCCGAGGGTTGGTTGTGGTGGGATGCCTTGTGAGCGATGGCGAGTTGAAGGGCCTCGTCGATCTTGATGTTTGCGGTGCCAATCATCTTCCTGCGCAGCTTTACATTGCTGATGCCCCAGGCGAATTGTGTTAATAGATTCTCCTCCACTTTAGTGAAGGCACAATCCATTGCAAGCTGGCTCAGGGTGGCCATGTATGCAGCGGCCGACTCGCCTGGCTTCTGGATGCGGCCCTGGAACTCAATCCTCCTTGCTAGAGTTGTTGGATAGGGCATGAGGTACCTGGGCAGGGCTTCAATGATTTCCTCGTAAGAACTCTAGAGGATTGCCCATGGTGCTAGGAGACTCTTCGCGAATCGAACGGTGTTTATGCCACAGGAGCTGAGGAGAAGGGCCCATTGTTTGCCCGGATCTGTTACCTCATTGTAGGCAAGGTGGCAGGTCAGATGGTCCGTCCATGAGTCCCAGAGTTTAGGATGGGCTGGATCGAAGATTTCCAGGTTTCCCTGAGTGGAGGCCATGGCTCTGGTGTGTAGCGGGGAATGGTGTTCCTGGATGCGGTGCGCGGTGCAGTGCTGCTCGGGAGCGATACAGGGCGTGGTAGCGTCTTCAGGATTGATGCTCGGTGCTGCACTGGAAGGGAGCCAGGCCTGCTCAGTGGAATCCCATCCTCGTCGCCACTGTAAAGTACTGGGTTTGCCACATGGAAGACTCGGACCACGACGTGCATTCACACGCGTTTATTGTACTTCACACAAGAACTGTAAAACGGCCCTGCAAGGCCAACTATATACACACCCACCCAGCACACCCACAGTCCCATTGGAGGGTTTGAATTTCCTGCCAAAGTTGCTATTTGTGAATGCTGGGGGAACTAAGATCCTAGGCTTCTATTGTTTAGAGGAGCTAAGCTCGACACTGTAGCCGTGGACCCCTGGTGGTGGTCCGCGTACATAACATTAGGGATTGAGGTAGAGTGGCCAGCCTCCAGGTAGGGCCTGGAGATCTCTGAGAATGACAACGAATGTCTGCACAACAGAGATTGGAACAAAGTTTGAGTCCAGTGGCACTTTTCAGACCAACAAAGTTTAATTCTGGGTATAAGCTTTCATGTATCTGAAGAAGTGTGCACTCATGCATAAGTTTATACCCTGAATTAAACTCTGTTGGTCTTAAAGGTGCCACTGGACTCAAACTTTGTTCTATTGCTTCCATCCAACATGGTTACCCACCAGTGCTCCCTCTAAGCTGAGTTAGTGTGAGCTAGCTCAGTTTTTTAGCGTGTGGCTCACACATTTTTGTCTTAGCTCAGGAAGGATGGCTCCAGAGCAAACTAATTAATGCAACATCCAAATCGCTCACTCACAATTTTAATGCCAGTAGCTCACAAAGTAGAATTTTTGCTCACAAGACTGCACAGCTTAGAGGGAGCATTTGGTACCCACCTGAATCTAACAGAAATTAGTTCACCTGGAGTTAAATAGCTGCTTTGGTGGGTGGACTCTGTGGCATTATACCCCACCGAGCTTCTTCCTTCCCCAGACCTCACTCTCTTCAGGTTCCAACCCCCAGGAGTTTCCGAAACTGGAATAGGGCAAACCCAGCTACTATCCTGTAATCCTGACAAGCAGGAAATTTTTCGGAGGCTAGTAGAATTGGGCCTGGCCCTGAGTGGACGCCTAAATTTGCAGGTTCAAGGTGGCATTAGCTCTCAGGAGTCAGACCAGAAGAAGAATTCGTCCTCTGATTTGATTTGGGGTTTTACTCTTTATGATTTTAAACAGTTAATTTTCTTCAGTCTTTTAGACAGCCGCTTCCCGACAGTCACAGAAGAAAACTACATTTCCCATATCGCCTTGCTTTATTGGAGGTCTTGCAGAGGCAGTAGCGCACACAGGATATAGCTCACTTAGGAATGCCTATTTCGAGTTCCTACGCTTGCTCCTACCTGCAAAACCACTGTAACCTCTGCCGGCCTCACAGAAAGCTCCCTTCCCTGCGATGGCCAAAGCGGGTGAGAAAGGCACAGCCGGTTCGGTGCCGCAAACTTACATCCTGCTGTCAGGAACTTTGGATAGACACTGCGGGGGAGGAGACTAACGGTCTTGACAGGCGAGGTGACCGAAGCGGGGCTGCGCGAGCAGTGGGAGGGTTCCTTGTGGGCGGGGGAGGTCGCGGCGTTTGGCGTCTGCTGCGCGTGCCTCTCCCAGAGTTCGTGAGGGGCAGAGTTGTGGCCTCGTGGATTAGAACTGCAGCCAACATGAGCGGCAAAGAAGGTGGTGGCATTTGGGAGGAGGGGGACTTAAAGCGGCTCCTCGCGCCCCCTTCCCAGTCGAGCGTTTCCCCCCTTTCCCGCTGTTCCCAGTACCATTCACTTATTCTCACCTCCCCGCTTCGTTTTCTCGCCTATCTCCAGTATTGGTGCCTCCCCCCCCCCCCGCGTGTTTAGGCCCCAAAGAAGGAGTGTTAGGGGAATGTGTGAGGACGACAAAAATGTTCTGTTGCTCCACATCCCGCACACGCATGTTCTTGGGTTGCTCTGTGCCACTGAAGGAGGAGTGCGTGAGTGGTAGAAACTCAGCCGTTGAAGTAGTGCGTAGCCCAGAGACGCGTTGAAAGAGAGAGACGATTGTACTTGTTGACTTTTCTTCCAGGCACTCGGTCGGCCAGAAAGATTTGTTCTGGGGTGGGGGAACGTGTTAACTTTACTGCACGTTTGATTCTCTGGCTAATGAAATGATGAAGCCGTTCATTAAAACGTCCCTTTTAAACGAGGGGATATCTGCTCCCCCCCCCCCCTGGATTGTTGAGCCTCATTTTAAATAATGTGTAGTTTTAATTGGCATTACAATTTTAATCCTCAAAGTGTCCCAGCGACTCTCAGGAGGTCCCTCCCCCGTATTAAATTTTTAGTCCAGCAGTGGGCATTTGTTTTCCATTGGCTGCAAATGGAGCAATAACAACTAGGGTGGGGTACTGGATGGTTTGGCACTTTACATCCAATGCTATCTTTAGGTCTGCACTTTTTTGGAGTCCAGTGTTTTTGCTTATAAAATAATAAGGATGTAGTGTTTTGTATCAATAGGGGTAACATGTACCTTTTGAAAAAATTCTCAGAGTTAATTTGATTTGTATTAAGAGCCTACACCTATTAAGTATCAGTAGTTTTCTTTATAGGAGCAGGTGGTTTCAAAAAAAGAAAGCATGATAACTTCCCCCATGGCCATCGAAGAGAAGAAAAGGACAACATTAATCCTTCAACTGTGTTTATGTCTTTCAAAGGTAAATACATTTTTAAAAGCTTGAAGGCTGGTTCACACGTGCATACTGTCTCCTTTTTCCCGTTTGTGGGGTTATATTGAGAAATCTCGAAATATACTGGGCAGTATTTGGAGACCACATGCAGATATTTTGCCAATTGTGGCTACTATTTAAAAAGTGCTGCTGTGATCGTACACATAAGTCATAGTGTGATCTGGTTAATTTTGAAGGGTTAGGTTCCATACAGATGTGCAGTTGCATGGAAGAAAGAAGCCCTGATTGTAAAACAAACCTACCAAAAAGGTTTCTGAGATTGAATGTGAATTAGGTGAATTAGGGTATATAGAATCACTTGTTCTGTTCAGGCAAAGGTTTTATGGGTCTCAAAGTTTTGCTCTCAGGACCTGTATGTAAAGAAGAGTTGTGTATAATTCAGTGTTTTGAATATGAGAGATGAAGAATAGATTCATTAAAACGATTGTATTGCTTTGAAAAATTATTACATAATGTCAAGTTTGTTAGGAATCTAACCTGTGATTTTTCAGTGTATATATGAATGACCTGTCCTTGTTTGAATTCTGTTTTCTAGCATTTCAGCTGGAGCTTGATACAAGACATGATAAATATGAACGGCTTGTGAAACTTAGTCGTGATATAACAATTGAGAGTAAAAGGACGATATTCCTACTGCATAGGATCACTAGGTGAGTAATCATTCAGCTTTCTTGATTCACTGCTTTTCTTTTCTATTGTATAGGGTGACCAGATACAAAGGATGAAAGGGTTCCTGTTTTTTAATAATTATGTAGGAGAAAGAATTTTGGTAGGTGTGTCTTTTTTTATGCACAGGTGAAAAAAACTGCAAAAAACTGATGAATTTCCTGCTCCTACAGAACTATAAGTCCTGCTTTATTTTTCATATCCTTATTCTAGACTTACAGTGGAATGGCTCTCTTGGTTTATACTAACCCTGGAAAAGAAATGGACATATATTTTCTTAATGTTGAATTTTGCTTTAAAGAGCATCTGCTGATGTAATTGTTGTGAGCCCCTGTAAGCTGAGAAAGAACATAATTTGGATACTGCTATTAATTGTTGTCACAAGTGTAGTTGATATTAAGATGGGGGGAGGCAGTTAGGGATCTCCAGTATCCCCATAAGTCTTTAACAGAGCTACCCAAGAGGAGGAGAAGACCCATAAAGAAGACCCCATTCTGTTGGGAGTACTGTGGTGGTGTTGGTGGTATATGTGCTATACAGCTGCAGCTGTAGACCTCTGCTTTCCTGCCACATTCAAATCAAGCTTGGTGAGGGAGGGATAGAAGATGAGCATCACATTAAGGCCTCCCTTTGCCCCTTGCCTAGAAAAGTAGCCAAAAATATGGTTCTTGGGATCTGCTACATAATGAGATCTAATTAACTGCATACCTTAGTTTTTACATTGTTATCCCGAGTCACTATAGATCCTGGTTGGGATGCTGCTGTGAATGATGGTAGCTGTTGACAGTTTTTAACAGTAGTGCTAGACTTGCTTATAAGCATTCTTAGACAATGTGATGATTATAGTAGAAGTGATTATGAGTTCTTTGGCAACATTGATGCACTAATAACTGCAGCTGCTGATGTAGCTGCACAGATCACAGTGTTAAATGAAAGCTTGTGCAGAAAGATGTGATGCTATCACCAAGTTACATCCATTTTTCTCTCCTTGTGCCTTCATAGTACAGCTTTGGTATTCTGACATATTTAGCAGTTTTTTTCTAAACCAGCAATTGATTGCAGAATAGCTTTTTGTATTCTTATAACTTGCACTGCAACTCATCCTATGCCTTTAAAAGCTCTTATTATTGCTTTCCCATAGTAAGAATGAATAGGTGTTGTATGTGCTGTATTTCTAAATATATTTAGGCAGCTTTTAGATGTCATGCTTAGCCAGTTACATTGCTGTGATATTTCAGTGGTAAATTGCTTGTAGACTCAGAAAAGTTTTTCGTAGCCCTTGGAACCAACATCTTGATGGTCTCACTCAGTTGTGTGCATGCATTGGAAACAATGCCAAGCTTTAGGAGCTCACAAAACCAAATAAGGACCCACGGTAAGTAGGAAAACCAACATACAACAAATACCGTGCACAGATTATTATAACATATAAATAATTTTATATTTTGTGAAAAATATTATTACAATGCTTTCTTCATTCGTAATTAATCATTCACAATTCATAGTATAAGAATATCAAATATCATCTCCATAGAATCTCAAAAGATATTGTACAACCTTATAATTGATAATAGTCCTCCTCTGTAAATAAAAATTTCAAAAGGGAGGACTCCTTAAATTCTCTTTATAACATGTGCTCTGTCTTCCTCCAACAGAGGTCCAGATATCCTTCTATTTCAGAATCTTCCTCAGGGAGTTCAACAATAATTTTCAGCACAAGGTTGCCAAATACTAATATAAAAGATAGCGGGAACAGAATAGGTTACAATGCTAGTAATCTCATACTAGACAGAGCCTCAAAAAAGTGAAAAGTTCTTACCCAAAGTTTTAATCCAAAATTCTTTCAATGAACGCTGCAAAAAAATTTTTTTTGATGAGCTACAAGCCTCCTCCAAATTGAAAAGCACGTTCAGGAGCTTTCAGTTTAGGAGCTGGCATCAAATATTTAGGGTCTTGATTTTTTCCACTTCTGCCTCTTTGTCTAATGTTGAACCATTGTTTAGCAAGAGTGGTATGGAGGCAGAACAATTTTGTGATTGCCTAGGTGAGTAACAGTTATGACAAATTGTGTGCCTTGGCATTACTGAATTTAAGCTGTGACTAAGGGTTAGGGTGACAGTTGATGTGGTTCTGCAGGTTGACTTCTTAAAATAATTATCCATAATTAGTTTGCACATTTATTTATTTAGATATTGGGTCATCAGCTTGGATTTGCATTCTGATATGGATGAGGATTTGCCTCCAAATTGTGCGTGCTTGTGTTTACAAGTGGAGAGGGAAGGTAAAAGGAAGAAAATTGTCTTCCTTACTTCTCTGTGCCCTCTAGATTAACAAAAAACATTTAATTTTTTTTCAAGGTAGGATGAGATGCTGTAAAAAGAAAGCAGCGGCATAATATACAAACTGTCCTATTCAGGTTCAGACTAGTCTATTATATTATCTGCTATAATTTACAAATCCATATGCCAACATTTAGGTCTGACTACTGTTATGCAGGTATTGTACATGTTATATTTGATTTTAATAAACATTTTAAAAGGAAAAAAAATTAAGTATATCTTAGCAATGAACACATTTATTGTGGCATGTGTTTTATGATCTAAATCTACTAAGGTGGGCTCTAAACCACAAAAAACTTTTGCCACAACATATTTGTTAGTTTTTCACATGGTACATTTGACTAATATGGCTACCTCTCTGTAGTTTGGCACTGTGGAAAAGATGTATGGTAGCACTTTTGGTGTCACCTGTATACCAGTAGAAAAGAGCAAGAGTCCACTAGCACCTTAAAGACTAACAAAATATGTCGCAGGGTATGAGCTTTTGTGGGTCATTGCTCATTTCTTCAGATACCTGCGGTGACTCACAAAAGCTCATACCCTGCCACATAATTTGTTAGTCTTTAAGGTGCTAGTGGACTTTTGCTTTTTTCTACTGCTACAGACAGACTAACACGGCTACCCATCTTGATCTATCTGCCTGTATACCAGTTACAGTGATTCAGGTTATGTGGTCATATTTCCGATATGTTTTTCAGTGCTGACCATGGATGCATGCTTAAAACTATGGTACTTTATTCTGGATTAATATATTAGAGTGATTTCTAATGTTCATAGTCACTTGCATAAGCAGTGTTTAGAATCACCTGTTAGTTGCTTGCACCCCATGATAGTGTAAAGGAGTAATCTTTATGGAATTTGAGCATGTGCCTGGTGTCGTCCACTTGCCTTAGGGATACATAGATATATACTTGCTCAGAATGTTTTGTAAATTATGTGTATAGTGATTTATGCCTCTATCCTGATATTTCAACAACTGCCTCTTTGTAACTTATCTTGTGTTCTGTGATCACAGTGCTCCCAATGGAGATGAAATATTAATGGAATCTGAAGCCAAATTAGATACTGTGAGACAGAAGATAAAACAAGTTGCACAAGAATTGATGGGAGACGATATGTACCAGTTCCACAGAGCCATCTCTCCAGGTATGAAAAACAACAGTCATTACAAGTAAAATTCAGATAGAGTTCAACTCAAAAGGCCTGGCTTTACTTTATTTGACATGTGGAAATCAGTCTCTCTTCACAAAGGAAGAATGGTTAATTTGTTCCTAATAAACTATTGAATTTGTAAACCATTATATAGTAAATAAAAGTAGGGCTGTGTTGTAGAGAAGTTGTCTGGAACATCTTCTACGTAATGCATGTTGTTGAATCCTTGGATTAATAATACATCCTTGGTGATGGTTGCTAACATTAACTAGATCCAGAAAGGGAACTTGTAGGGACACAAGAGATTTATGGTTGCCGAACAGTACCTATCTCTTTGAAAAGTCTAAATCAGAGGTGTCGAACTCATTTGTTATGAGGGCCAGATCTGACATAAATGTCACTTTGTTGGGCCGGGCCATGTGTGCTATAAAATGTAACATGAGGTATCGGAACTATAAACTGTATAAAGGTGATTTTGGATGTCAGACGACAATAGCAGGCTTGATTGGAGTAGGTGTGATATGCAGATGTGTAGTAGGCATGGAGATACCAGTGTTAGTAATGAGACAGGAAACCTAGGTCTCAATTCCATACAGGAGGATTCAGTCCAGAAGGATGCAGATAAATGGACATAAGTCTGACATTAGAAACCACAACATTCAGTTGCTGACCTAAGAGTAACAGTGCTCTTACTTAGGAATTTCAGAGAGAGTAGAAAGAGAGTGGCTGCTGAATTGCAATTGATAATGAAGCTCAAGACAATGTATCTCAATTCAGTCCTAGTTTTCCAGTCTCATTACCAATGTGTGCTATTATCATTTGGTATCTGAAATCACTCCACTCTCCAAGATATAAGGACCTATCCAAGTGTTCTAATTCCTAATCAGGCTCTTTTTGAAAGCAGATAAATCCAGATAGGAACAGAGAAATCCAATTTTTTTAGAACAACTTTTCAGAATAAGCCAAAATAATTTCCTCAATGCACATTGTGCTTGTCAGAACCCCCTCCCTTCCTCCCTCCCTCCCTTCCTCCCTCCCTTCCTCCCTTGAAGTATGCTTGCACACAAAAACTTATACTTGGAATAAAAAGTTATTCGTCTTGAAGCTGAAATAGGATTCCAACTTTGTTTTCTCTCTTTCCTTCCCTCCCTCCCCAAAATAGGAGGAGCAGCCCCGGAGAAGGAAGCAGAAGCTGTGTGCGCGTGTGTGTGTGAGAGAGAGACTTTGTATCTCTCTCACAGGAAGCAGCCATGGAGCTCTCTGTGTGCCTCTGTGTGTGTGAGAGAGAGGGAGGGAGAAAGAGAGAGAGCGCAAGGGAGGGGGGAGGGAGGCAATAGGCAGGAAGCAAAAAGCCACAAGGGAGCTGGAAAAAAACCAAGATATGGTGCAGCTGCAGCAGCAGCCCTGGGCAAGGAAGCAGGAGAAGGAAGTTGCACAGGGGCCACATGTTTGACACCCCAATCTAAATTGTTAATGAGAACTCTTGAATGTAGGTAAGCATCTTACAGTCCAGCATGAGGATTGCAGTTAATTTCTTTTGTATTCTGGGCTTTGTATTTTGAGAGCCAGTCTGGTGTAGTGGTTAAGTGCGCGGACTCTAATCTGGTAGAACCGGGTTTTATTCCCCACTCCTCCACTTGCACCTGCTGAATGACCTTGGGCAAGCCATAGTTCTGGCACAGCTGTTCTTGAAAAAGAGCAGTTTCGGTCAGAGCTCTCTCAGCCCCACCTACCTCACAGGGTGTCTGTTGTGGGGAGGGGAAGGGAAAGGAGTTTGTAAACCGCTCTGAGACACCTTTGGGTAGTGAAGGGTGGGGTATGAATCCAACCCCCCCCCCCCCCCGTAAAGAGTTGGTGATAAACATTGGAGAGATAGGTATGGGTCATCAAGATTCAGTTGTTTTGGGCATGTTTTTTTCCCTTGCCAGTGATGTGCAGAAGACTGAATAAGAAAGTCCCATGGTTACGTACATAACACAGAAAACCAGGTATGCAGAGCTGCTTGAACCCATATCCAGTTTATAGCCACATATGTGAGAGCTTCTTTCCTTTCTACACTGGGCCCATAGCCATATGAACAATATTATTGATGCAAACAAACATAGATTACTGAGATTTTTATTCCAGAAGTATGCCACAGCTAAGTCACTATGTGTAGATAGGTGTTAGCAAGTGAGGCCCACAAGGAACTTGCAGGGGACAGGAAATCCCACCCTCTACCTCACTTCCTTTCACTCCCACAGTCCTGCTTGCTCATGCTGCCACCCATGCCTGTCTTTCTAACTTGTCTGCCTGCTGAGTGATGGTGAGAGGGTGCCTTTCTTGGCTTCTCCACCACCATACTTCTTAGAAATAGCTGCTGAGATCCTGCGACTTAGCATTGCAAGATCTGCCCCCTTCCCTGGTAAGTTAAAGTTTGGACATCTTTAAAAATTTCCTTCAGTTCCCCCGCCCCAAGTTTTTGTGCAAACTTGGGGGTTTCTCCAGGCCTATAGAAAAGAGTTCCCTATATCTATGTAGGTGTAAGCCATCAAGGTGCAACCAATTTATGGCAATCCCATCAAGGGGCTTTCAAGACAAGTGAGAAGCAGAGGTGATTTGGCATTGCCTTCCTCTGTAGAATCTTTTTTGTTGATCCCATATCCAAGTACCGACCCTGCTTAGCTTATGAGATCTGATGAGATCAGGCTATAGCATACCATTCCTCATCCCCTTCCTTTATCTATACCATGGCCCTATAGTATGGGTTTTTTTAATCTGAACCCGGGGGCCATTGTTCAGAATTAGATATAACAAGAAACGGGACCCATGATACTCGCGGGGGGTATTCCCTGCTGCTCCCAGGTGGCTGGCCTGCTGAAGCAGCAGGAGCTCTGCACAGAGGAGGCAGCGGTAGCGGCCGCAGGAGAGCCCACCAGGTGGTCCGCTGGCCTCCCCGGGCTTCCCCCCCGCCCCCGATAGCAGCAAAGGTTGCAGCTTTAGCCACCGGCCCTCCAAGGTTTCTCCCCCCACCACCCCCACAGCCGCCAGCAGCAACAGCTGTGAGCCCTGTGTGCTCCTAGCCGCTGGGCTGCCAGGCTTCTCCCTCCCCCCGCCGACAGCACCAACGTCTGTGGCTCCCAGCGCCAGCCCTCCAAGACTTCTCCCTTCCCCCTCCCCGGCCGCTGCCAGCAGCAACGGTGGCAAGCCCTGCGCAGCACCTAGCCGTGGGGCCGCCCAGGTTCCCCCCCCCCAGCAGCAATGGCTGTGGCTCTCAGCCGGCCAAGGCTCCCCCCCGTGCATGAGCCGCCGCCGCCAGCAGCAATGGCGGCAAGCCCTGCACAGTTCCTAGTGGTGAGTGCGTTCTCTGTGCATGCGCAGGGAACGTTCCTTTGGGGGGATTTAAGTATCCCCCCCTATAGTTTTTTTATAGATTTCAGATTTTTCTGCACATCTGGGGATTGCCCCAAATATACAGGCAAATCTCTTTGCCCCCTAGGTGCCCCCAATGTGTGGATTTAGGTATCTGTACATGGGGGCGCCTTGGCTACTAGATATATAGATGTTGAATACCCAGTCACTACAACTTGTTTTCTGTCTGGAGTCAGTTTCAACTAGCTTCTTCTCATTTTGTTTTTTTACAACAAAAACTTGTTAGCAAGGATGGTCTTTTATTGTGTATCATCTAGGAATTTCTGGAACAGACTGTTAACCACGTGTTCGTTTGTCTTCTTCAGGAATGTTTGAATCAAGTGTGTGAGTGTTAGTTTACATTAAAATTGAGAAGAAGTAATGTGCTGCCTAGGTGCTGAAAAAATAGCATTTTTACTTTCCCTTAAGGAAGCATTTACAGTGCTCACTGAAACTCCAGCAGTTTCTCTTGAAGGATTGTACCATTCAGGGGAAAGTTGAGAGTGAGCATGTGGTTACACACCTTGCCGAGCATCCTGTTAGTAACTGAGATAGCAATGGACAAAGTGATCTGAGCAAATGAGACAAGATGGTATTCACGGTCACTGACAATTTGGGCTTTAATATGTGGTTTTCTAGTCAGATTAAGTTCAAGAGATTTTGTCTAAAAATGTTTCACAAATATGTCAAGGGAGGTGCTGCAAGGTAATAAAGGCTTATCTCTGTGAACAGAAAGATTGGGAACATAATAATCCATTCAGTTCCCAAAACAGCTTGCTGACTGATGTTGTGCAAGTACAAGTGTAAAAATTAATTTTATAATCTAATAAAACAATACACAAAGCAAATAGGATGAGGGGGAGAGGAACAATGGTAGTGAAGATAAAACAAGAAATATCATGAAAAGCAGCAGTGAAGTTTTCAGTGACTCTTTGTTAGTCAGATCAATTGTGGAAGAGCATTCTGGGCTTTCTAAGTGGAAAGATCGAAAGAATGAGATAATAGTACACATGATACAATGTTTAAAGAACACATGAACGCATGAAACTGCCTTATACTGAATCAGACCCTTGGTCCATCAAAGTCAGTATTGTCTATCCAAACTGGCAGCAGCTCTCCAGTGTCTCATGCAAGGTCTCTTTCTCAGTGCCTACTGCCTGTTCCGTTTTTTAACTGGAGATGCCGAGAACTGAACCTGGGACCGTCTGCATGCAAAGCGAATGCTTTACCACTGAGCCACAACCCCTCCGTATCTTGAAAGTAGAGAGACTAAGAATCAAATTAGATGAGGAACAGATCTACTTGCCTTTTTAAAAAAATCTAAAGCAGTTGTGCAGAATCCAAAATTGGTTGGGGGCTTTGATTTTGGGGATGAGATGCATTAAATTTCTCCTCCCTGTGCACTCCTTCACAATGTAAATATGCCTGCTTCCCTGAGCTGCTTTTTGTCCCATGGATGGGAAGAGTGTACAGATGCATATATGGAGCTCCATGTGGGTTTCTATGTTCTTTCCTCATGGGGTCCTGGGGGGGGGGTAGGTTTGGATTGAGAAAATGGCATGAGGGAAGACTCTTCTCACCAGCAGCATAGTTCTTGTCTGACT